GTGCACATGGAACATTTTCAAGAACAGATCATATACTAGGCCACAAAAAGAGCCTCAGTAAATTCAAAAAGATTGAAATTGTACCAACCAGCTTCTTGAATCACAAAGGTATGAAGCTAGAAATAAATTACACAAAGAAAATGAAAAAGCCCACAAACACATGGAGGCTTAATAACATGCTCCTAAATAATCAATGGATCAATGACCAAATAAAAACAGACATCAAGCAATATATGGAGACACATGACAACAATAATTCAACAACACATAATCTGTGGGACGCAGCGAAGGCCGTGCTAAGAGGGAAATATATTACAATACAGGCCTACCTCAGGAAAGAAGAACAATCCCAAATGAACAGCCTAAACTCACAATTAATGAAACTAGAAAAGGAAGAACAAATGAGGCCCAAAGTCAGTAGAAGGAGGGACATAATAAAGATTAAAGCGTAAATAAATAAAATTAAGAATAAAACAATAGAAAGAATCAATGAAAGCAGGAGCTGGTTATTCAAGAAAATAAACAACATAGATAAGCCCCTAGCCAGACTAATCAAGAAAAAAAGAGAGTCTACACAAATAAACAGAATCAGAAATAAGAAAAGGAAAAATCACCATGGACACCACAGAAATACAAAGAATTGTGAGAGAATACTATTAAAAATTATATGGTAACAAACTGGATAACATAAAAAAATGGACAACTTTCTACAAAAATACAACCCTCCAAAGCTGATCCAGGAAGAAACAGAAAATTTGAATAGACCAATTAACAGCAAAGAAATTGAATTGGTAATCAAAAAACTACCTAACAACAAAACTCCTGAATCAGATGGTTTCACGGCTGAATTTTATCAAACATTTAGTGAAGACCTAATACCCATCCTCCTTACAGTTTTCCAAAAAGTAGAAGAGGAGGAAATACTCCCAAACTCATTCTACAAGGACAACATCAGTCTAATACCAAAACCAGGCAAAGACACCACAAAAAAGAAAATTATAGACCAATATCCATGATGAACATAGATGCAAAAATACTCAACAAAATATTAGCAAACCGAATTCAAAAATACATCAAAAAGATCATCCATCATGACCAAGTGGGATTCATCCCAGGGATACAAGGATGGTACAACATTCGAAAATCCATCAACATCATCCATTACATCAACAAAGAGAAGAACAAAAACCACATGATCATCTCCATAGATGCTGAAAGAACATTCAACAAAATTCAACATCCACTCATGATAAAAAACTCTCAACAAAATGGGTATACAGGGCAAGTACCTCAACATAATGAAGGCCATATATGACAAACCCACAGCCAACATTATATTTAACAGTGAGAAGCTGAAAGCTTTTCCTTTAAGATTGGGAACAAGACAAGGATTCCCACTCTCCCCACTGTTATTCAACGTGGTACTGGAGGTCCTAGCCACAGCAATCAGACAAAACAAAGAAATATAAGGCATCCAGATCGGTAAAGATGAAGTCAAACTGTCACTATATCCAGATGACATGATATTGTACATAAAAAATCCTAAAGACTCCATTCCAAAACTACTAGAACTAGTATCTGAATTCAGCAAAGTTGCAGGATACAAAATTAATACACAGAAATCTGTTGCATTCCTATACACTAATGATGAACTAGCAGAAAGATAAATCAGGGAAATAATTCCATTCACAATTGCATCAAAAAGAATAAGATACCTAGGAATAAACCTAACCAAGGAAGTGAAAGACCTATACCCTGAAAACTACGGGACACTCTTAAAAGAAATTAAAGAGGACACTAATAAATGGAAACTCATCCCATGCTCTTGGCTAGGAAGAATTAATATTGTCAAAATGGCCATCGTGCGTAAAGCAATCTACAGATTCAATGCAATCCCTATCAAAATACCTACAGCATTCTTCAGTGAACTAGAGCAAATAGTTCTAAAATTCATATGGAACTACAAAAGACCCCGAATAGCCAAAGCAATCCTGAGAAGGAAGAATAAAGCACGTGGAATTACGCTCCGTGACTTCAAGCTCTACTACATAGCCACAGTAATCAAGACAATTTGGTACTGGCACAAGAACAGACCCATAGACCAGTGGAACAGACTAGACAGTCCAGAAAGAAATCCAAGCATATATGGTCAATTAATATATGATAAAGGAACCATGGACATACAATGGGGAAATGACAGCCTCTTCAACAGCTGGTGTTGGCAAAACTGGACAGTTACATGTAAGAAAATGCAACTGGATTATTGTGTAAGCCCGTACACAAAAGCAAATTCAAAATGGATCAAAGACCTGAATGCAAATCATGAAACCATAAAACTCCTAGAAAAAAACATAGGCAAAAATCTCTTGGACATAAACATAAGCAACTTCTTCATGAACATATCTCCCCAGACAAGGGAAACAAAAAGCAAAAATGAGCAAGTGGGACTATATCAAACTAAAAAGTTTCTGTACAGCAAAGGATACCATCAGTAGAACAAAAAGACATCCTACAGCATGGGAGAATATATTCATAAATGACAGATCTGATAAAGGGTTGACATGCAAAATATATGAAGAGCTCACACACCTCAACAAACAAAAAGCAAATAATCCAATAAAAAAATGGGCACAGGATCTGAACAGACACTACTCCAAAGAAGAAATTCAGATGGCAAACAGACACATGAGAAGATGCTCCACATTGCTAATCATCAGGGAAATGCAAATTAAAACCACAATGAGATATCAGCTCACACCAGTTAGGATGGCCAACATCCAAAAGACAAACAACAAATGTTGGTGAGGATGTGGAGAAAGGGGAACCCTCCTACACTGCTGGTGGGAATGTAAACTAGTTCAAATATTGTGTAAAGCAGTATGGAGGTTCCTCAAAAAACTCAAAATAGAAATACCATTTGACCCAGGAATTCCACTACTAGGAATTTACCCTAAGAATGCAGCATCCCAGTTTGAAAAAGACATATGCACTCCTATGTTTATCGCAGCACCATTTACAATAACCAAGAAATGGAAGCAACCTAAGTGTCTATCAGTAGATGAATGGATAAAGAAGATGTAGTACATATACACAATGGAATATTATTCAGCCATAAGAAGAAAACAAATCCTACCATTTGCAACAACATGGAGGGAGCTAGAGGGTATTATGCTCAGTGAAATATGCCAGGCAGAGAAAGACAAATATCAAATGATTTCCCTCATCTGTGGAGTATAAGAACAAAGAAAAAACTGAAGGAATAAAACAGCAGCAGACTCACAGAACCGAAGAATGGACTAACAGTTACCAAAGGGAAAGAGACTGGGTAGAATGGGTGGGAAGGGAGGGATAAGGGGGAAAACGGGGCATTATGATTAGCACAAATAATGTAGGGGGCTGGGGACATGGGGAAGGCAGTATATACAAAGAAGTCAAGTAATGATTCTATAGCATCTTACTATGTTGATGGACAGTGACTGTAATGGGGTATGTGGGGGGACTTGATAATAGGGGGAGTCTATTAACCATAATGTTCAAGTAATTGTACATTAATGATATCAAAAAAAATGCAAGTGCATATTTAAGTTAATGAATGGCCTTTATTACTGATGAATAACAGAGATAGCAAGAAGAGGACTATATAGAGCAATTATACTTTTCTCATAAAAATTTCCAAGATAATACTCATGACATATAATGAAAAGTCATCATATTTAAATTAAACTTCATTAAGGATAGTAAGAAGTACAGCATCTGAAGTTATGAAATAATTATAATAATAATGATAGTAACACACGACCAGCCGCAGCTCTCCTTTGTACTATGTGCCAGATACGTAACAGGCATTTTACATATGACTCATTTCCTCCTCAAGCCAAGTCTGTGCAATTATCCCTATGTCACAGATTATGAGATGAAGATACTGTAAATTAAAGTACCCTATTTGTGGTCATAGCAGAGTAATTATTTGAACTATAATCATTGGATTTCAAAATCCATATTCTTTCCATTGGGCTTAGGAAAGGCAGCTGTGCAAGCAAATATTGTCCAAAAACTTGTCATACTTGGAAAGACTCTGGGAGATAAGCACCATTACAAGTCATCACGGATGTCCAAAACCTAAAACATGTGCATGGGGCTATCAACCATCAAGTCAGAATCATAAAAGCTAAATATTGCCAAGTAATAACAGCCATTTCTTTGAGAGCTGGTAAAAAAGCATTTATACATTAAAAGCATATTTAAGAACTTGACACATTGAGTGTAAATTTCCATAATGTGTTTGTTTGCAAATTAAATATATGTTTGCAAATTAAACAAGAGAGCTTAAATTTTTTTTATTCTAGACTATCACCTTTTCTTAAAGCCCTTATAAGAGAAAAAAATATGTACCAAGCAGGCAATTTCTCAAAAATAAATAAAAGAAAATTTTATTTTATGAATTTAAAAGAATCTTTTAAAAAATTAAGGAGAAAGGTTATAGTACATCAAAGAATCATGTGCTAAATCATGTGAATTAAGACTGAAGGCAGAGATAGCTGACATTTAACTGTACCACTGTAGTCTAATGTATCACTCTTTCCTTTCTCACCTTGTTCTTTTGCAATTAAGATGACTGACTCTCCCAACCTCTCAAACTGCTGAAAGAGAATCTGTTAGAGTCTAATGTATTGAACTCTGAATTTAAAATAACAAAATCATTATCGTACATTTTTTCCTGTAGGAAGACTTCAATGTCCGTAAACCTGAGGTTTTACTTAGGTCTTAAAGAAAATTTTCACATGAAGTTATTAATCTTGAACTTGATCCATCTTTTTAAGAGCAAGAAAGTCAATTCTTTAAGGTTCATAGAGTCAGCTTTAGTACTGCACTGAGTTCTAGCAGGCTGAACAAATTAACTTGCTAATGAAAGGCAGAAACAAAGTCCATATTTAGGTGTGGACCAACTATAGAACAATTTATTTTCCATCCATAATCAAATAATCAAATAGCACACTTACCATAAAAAGTGAGGTACCCAAAGAGCGCAGATAGAAAATAAATGAGAAAACTTAGAGCAATTGCAGTATTGGTTACATTCTGCATTCTTTTCTTTGAGGGGCTAAAAGATAAAAATGGAAAAAGTAGAATCATGAACTGAATTACACGTAAAGAAACAAACATCTCTCAAGCTAGTCAAATGGATTCCTTAACCATTCAGACCCAGTTCACTAATCACTACTAATTAGTTCATTAACAACTATATACTCATTAATATATAGTAGAAATCCTGATTTGAAATTATTGCATAAAGATTATGCTTCCAGGAAATATTCTCAACTGGGACAGACCTAAGTCTTGATTGTTTTGTTTTCAGCTAACATGTAGAATCCAGTGATAGGAGGGAAGGATTCATAAAGGAGCATGTCATTCAACCTGAAAGTCCTAGAAGTAAAAAGACATACTTAACATACTGAAACTACTGTAATTACATGGAATGTAAAGGCAATAGTTTTAAATTAAAAAATTTACCCAAAATTATAAGTATGTTATTAGACCAATAAAAAAACTTTATATTCAACATGAAGAAATATAGTTTTATAAATTCTATAAGATTATAGTATCAATAAAACTGAATATTATATAAATGAAAATAAAATATTCCAGGATTCTATAGTACCTTTGAAGTTCACAGTATATGGGCAATATTGAGGTATGACAGAGAAATGAAAAAGCCATGGTTGGTATGGCATAAGCACTCTGAAAAAAAATTTAAGATGATAAAATTATTAAATACTACTCTGTTGAACCTACTACCTCATTTGACAATAAACTCAATTCTTTAAAAAAATCCACTTGGTTAAATTTATTTCTTCTTTAATGAATCACCTCTTTATAAAATAAGGGCTTTTTTCTTTATTTTAGAAAGAGAGACACAATTTTGGTCACCAGCAAATGTTTTACTTGATAGTTAGATTGCCTGTACTGGCCAGAGTACTACTTGGCTGGCTTCCACACCATGTTCCTTTTACTAAAATCACTGGTGCTTCTACATTATTTGGGTAAGATAAAATAATTTAAGTAAGATAAATAATATTTAAATAAGATTAAAAAGAAAACTTTAGAAGTGATCTTATTATAATTCTCAGTCTTTCCTAATATATGCATTAGGAAACTTATTTATTGTAGAATCCTAAGTAACAACAGTAGCTAATGCTTTTGAACCTGCTTTCACCAACCCAAAGGGAATATTACCAATGTAATTAAGAGAATACTGAAAATATTAATCATAATTTAGCATTTTTGACTAAGGTCTCTTTCAGTGGGAATGAACATGATTTATTCTAGACCAAAACACTCTTAGAGATCCATTGGAATATGTGAACATTGTTTTTAGAATACTTAAGAGTCAGAGGAAGTTACAAAGCAAACAGAAGTTACAATCTAAATGAAAATACAAAATGGATAGCGATGATTTACTTTCTCTTTCCTACTCTAAAAATTTTCCCTAATTAACTTTAGGCTGCTCAGTAAAAGAAGTTCCAGATGACTAAAGACCTATCTTGGGACATAATGCCCCCTAAAATATCTGAAGGGAGCTGGGAGGAAGGAAAGCTGTAGTGTTTCCTGAGGCTGGATTAGGGGAATAAGAGTTTAATTCACAAATTCTCTTTCATATATTGCTCAATTTCCTGGCTTGTCAATTATGCTACCTACATCTTTAAGACACATGGAGGCCTTTATTATGTAAAAGATATGGTACCTCCCTTGTGAGGCCAAAGAGACACTTCTCATTTAAAAACTGGTGATAAAAAGGAAAATTCCACAGGGAGAAGTTACCATACCAACATTCTACACTAATAGAGTTGTATGTGAGTGGAAAGGATTCTAGTATCTGGGACCTGCATTTCAGCAGAATCAAAAAGTGTAGATGAAGAAACGTGGAGCAACAGGGATGACTTTGAGCTTTTCTAGAATGACAAAGCAGAGATCATCCAGATCACAGCTCCTGTCTCCTCTGCTGGTGCTCATGGGCTCTTGCAGACATTCCCAGCATCCTTAGAGAAGGCAAGGGGACTTGGTTTTCTAGTCTCTGCCCTAGGTATCATAAATTTCAACTTGGGAATGTCAGCCAGAAGATGTATTGGCAGTACTCAAATGTTGGCCCAATGATGAGGCTGTTTAGCTACAAACCAAGGTTCTACTCACAGGCGAGCAGTTTTTGATATAATTGGCTATTAAGCTTTATAAGTCCAGAGGGCAACAGGAAGTCTGTATCCACAGAGGACCTTATTGGCCAGACATTTGGTAAATCTGCTCTTTTAGGCAGTGGCCCATTTAAAACAGGCTTCATTTAAAGGCATGCCAAAAAACAAACAAAAAAAAGAGGTGGCTGTTTCATAATGGGCCACCCTGTGTTAAATAATATTATTCTTCTGGTAGGCAACTCTATACTTAGCACTTTCATGAAAATTAATTAGTTACAGGTACAGAGACCTAAGAGACCCTATTACACAAATCTCTTAAAACTTGAAATGTGAAAAATCAACCAAAAGTATCTGTTAATAACTTACAAACCTCTTTGGAGAAATGAAAGAGCTTTGGTTTACAATCATCTGTAGCATTTGAAATCTGTTTAAGAGGATTGAGGGAGGAAAATAGAGAAACCAATAGTCATTAAAAGTCAGAATATATCAACAAAAATGACGAATGTTTTATTACCAGGCTTTCAAATAAAAATATTTCAAAACAAAGTTCCAAAGTGTAATATAGCCATTACTATTTCATTAATTAGGAAAAAAATCATTATTAGTTATTTTTTTAGCTTAAAATAAAAAGGAAGAAACTAAAAAGAAAATATAAACTATTACCTGGAAGTACTGCTCTATGTAATTTGACCTCAGAGGACAAGGGATAGACCATTTTTTAATAATTATCTGTAAGAATAAGTAGAATCACCACTCAGATTATTTCTTATAAAATTCATGACAAGAAATAGATTTCAAATAGGTCAACAATAATTCAATTAATCTAAAACCATATCAAATGACATGCTAGCTAACAGAAGATTCTTTGCTCATATGATTCTCCCCGGTTAGAATGAGGTCATCATTTAACATGGGCACCTATGGTGGGTGTTGGGGGGAGTGTTGCCTATCTGTGTAGTGGAGATTCCCCCCCATTAAAGACTGAGAGTACTCTTATGTCATCTTTCAAAACTCCAATAGCATCAAGGCATTTAAAAAAGTACAGCTCAAAATGGGAAGGCAATGTTTTTAGTAACAATGGTATAAGAGTATGGTTATTTGTGGGCCTGGTATTAGTAGCAGATAGAGAAATATTAATAGCAGTTTTGGAAATAACCACAGGCAGAAATAAGTACAGATCTTATGCAAAGGGGACACTAAGGGATTTCTGATGTATAAGTACTGTCCCTCCTTGCTTTTTTTAGACTTGGTATTACTTCTGGCAAATGTGAATAAAGCTAACTAAGAATAAGTGCACTAACTAGGAAACTCCAGCTGGTAAAAATAAATTTTTAAAAAATTAAAAGAAATCCAAAGGGATGCTATTTCCCAGAAATAATCAAAGAAAATGTTTCAGGATTTTACTTTTAATTGTGGCCATACTGTTTCTAGACCTACAATTGTGTCAACATTACCATTGTTGCAGTTGTTTTGGGGCATGTAATTACTCTGTACATGTTTGCTCCAGGCTGAAACCCAGCATACAGAGGAGCAAGGGAGAATAAAGGAGGTATTTGTTCTTTGCAGGAGACCGATAAGTAAATAATATTCCTATTTGGTATTTATCTAGTTTTGGATTTTAATTAATTCAAACAACATTTTATGTAGTGATAAAACAAATCTATGGAAAACATATACTCTTAGGATTAAGTTAGTGAGTGAATTAAAAAACTACTCTAAAATCCTCATCAACAGGGGAAAAAGGAATGATTAGGATCAACTGGGCAAGCTGCTTTGACATTTCTAGATAAGTTTTCAATATGGAATAAAACTAAATTGTCAACTTACCAAGAGGAAAGAAAAAATCAAAAGTAATAATCTTACCATCTGGTATTTTTTGGTTTTTTTGGTGTGTTATCAAAAAAAAGGATGAAAATGAGATGGGGTAGAAGCTGGAGAGGCAAGGTTATTACTGGTCTCTCTCTTCAGCCCTGCTCTGAGTTTAGTGACCCACATTTTCTCCCTACTAACGGTGCTGGCGGTGGTAGGAACAACCATTTACTGAGCATTTGTACAGCCGGTACTTTGATAAAGGTGGTATGTGAGCTGTCTCATTTATTTTTTCAGCTTTGATTACTAGGCTTGCAAATCAAAGTATTTCAAAACAATGCTCCAAAATATAAAATATTCATTTCTTCACTAATTATAAAATATCATTAGCCTAATTTCATATTAATATAAAATTCAAGAACTACAGCTCATTTCTTTAAAGAGACCCATCCCAACCCCAAGGCTGCATGGTAGAACGGAGTGGATAGAAGGGATATCCTACAAAGCTGACGTAGAGAACAGATACCTGATGACAGAGTAATGGAATCCCTGCTCAGGACCAAGACAGAACGTGATGAGAAGATAACTCCAGGGATTAGAAAGATAAAGGGAGAGCAAGATTCAGTGTTAAAAATAATTGTACACTTGCACAAAAGGCCTTTCCTTCTCTCTGCTCCAAGTCTTTCCAATCTTTAAAAACGTAGCTCATTTTATTTCCTTCCATACCCTTCTTTACTCTAGCTCTCAGTGATCCTTCTCTCCTCTCAACTCTTGAAATTCTTATTCTGAAGCAAATAAATCAACACTTAATTACGTGTGGCCTATATTGTTCCCTATTTTTTCTAATGAACTTATCTTATCTCCCTTACTAAAATGATGTAGAGTCCAGGTTAAACTCCCACAACTCTAAAATGCCTAGGATAATGGTCATCAGAAGGAAAGCTTCTAACTAAAATCCATTCACATAGTTTTCATTTTGATCACTGACTTACTACAATATTAGAATACTAATCTGTACTCAAGACAGAACTTTTGGAAAGAATGGCAATCCATTTGTATTTTAACCTGGACCATAAAAAGGCAAATCCATCTGGTTACCATCATTCTGAGCTACTGCAAAGATAAATTTTATCTTTAAAAATTTATATATTTAAGAGGGGGCAAAATACTATGTTAAAACTTTTTGTGCAAAATAAGGATCTGGGACAACAGATAAGAGAATAGGTTTTGACTTCCATTATTTAAAAAGTATAATTTGAGAAAATAGTTTTCTGGACTGATTTTCTAAAAATGTAATATGAATGTTACATAGATTTACAAACATGTATTGACAAATGCACATATACAAATATATTACAAATATATATATTATATATGTAGAAAAAAATACTACACACACACACAAAAATGAAAGAATTGCTACTCTTCAAAAAAATCTGGGTTAATATATAAATATTTCCTTTCCTAACCATTATGTATTTCAAAACCGAATACTTAGAGAGTTTTAAATGAGTATGTCAATAAAAAGGGCATTAGAAAGTATCCCACATATACACAATGGAGTATTACTCAGACTAAAAAAGGAAATCTTGCCATCTGTGATAACATGGATGAACTTAGAGGGTATCATGCTAAGTGAAATGAACCAGGCAGAGAAAACAAATACCATATGATTTCACTTACATGTGGGATCTAAAAAACCCACAAATACAGACAACAGACTGTTGGTTACCATATGGAAGGGGGTAGGGAATGGGTGAAATAGGTGAAGGGTATGAAGAGGTACAAACTGAAAATTGTAAAATAAACTAGACATAGGAATGGAAGAGAATTTAAGCAATAATATTGTAGTATCTTGGCATGATAATGGGGTAACTATACCTACTGTGGCTAGCATCTAGTAATGTATACAATTATTGAGTCACTATGTTGTACATTTGAAACATAATGTTGTAAATCAATTTTATTACAATAAAAAAGTATAAAAATTAAAAAAAAGTTTTAAGTATATCTTCATTGTCCCACTGTACACTAAATTTAAACTGTGCTTACAAGTAAAAATCTGAACAGATGGTTTGCAAAGCATTATAATTTAGAAGTGTAGAATACAAGGTATTATTTCCATATGACTGATACAGCAGAAACCTGCATTAAATTAAGGAATATCTGCCAGCCATGACAGAAATGAATACTGTAAAAACTACAATAGACATATCATATCAATACATTTCACTTGCTTCAAAATAATGAATATAAAACCCAAATTATTTCTACCTATGTGATGCTTGGTTTGCCAATTTTCTGTGAGGAAAAAAAATCCATTATCTACACTGATTCTCTTTAATATCCATATGTTCATTTATATATAGAGGCTACTCCTAACCATGTAAATGTTTCTCAACAATCAGATTATGATGAAAATATTTCCCTCCTCTATGTGGAACCTGAGAAGTATATGTTCATGGATATAAACTTATTGCTATAATCATTTTGCAATATATGTCAGTTAAGTCATTATGCTTGTGAAAAGAATCCAAAAAAACCTATGTTCAATTCACGTACTTACAAGGTACAAGACAGACAATTTGAGGTGGGGAGGGCAATGATTTTAATGCTGATAAATTCAACAACTTATGTAAACACTGTTAGGTATTTTTAGTTTTAAGAGCTTCCAGTAAAGCATAAATATTTATGCATACTGAAAACCAGGGTCATTTCCACTTCATTTAAATAATCTAGAGATGTTTTATTCTTATATCCCATAAGATAGTTTAGCCTAAATTAAAGTGAGTCTACACTGTTTTGACAGCTTGAAAATCTGACTCTATAATATGGTTTTAACTACTGATGTGTTGTCTTGCTCTTTTGGGTGGCATTTTTCTTTCACTCATTTCTCAATTTCAAGGGAGAGTTTAATCAAGCTTGTAATTTTAGGAGTTTTATCAAGACATTTAGGTATATAGCTTCTTGACAAGCTTAAAATGTTTAATCCTATTTAAGTTGGATAGATATAGAATATGGAATAAACTGCTATGTAAAGAGAACTTTGTTTCAAAATTTCATACTATCTTTTGGATGTTAAAATATCTTAGAAGAATTAAAAGGAGTCAAATTCAAATTCTCTTTTACCTTTATATTACATTATTTTATAAATATTAAAATGAATTATTTACCATCTTATATTTTTCCTACAATAAAAATAATAAAAATGAGCTAGATTTTAAAAAAGAAAAAACTTATTCCACAAGTGAAGAAAACTTTTCTTTACAGTAGTCTTTTTTTTATTGAAGTATCATTGAGATACAATCTTACGTTGGTTTCAAACGTACAACAGTTGTTCAAGTTACCCATATTATTAAATCCTCACCCTGTTTAGTGCAGTTACTATCTATCAACAGAAAGATGTTACAGAATCATTGACTATATTCTCCATGCTGTACTACCATCCCCATGATCAACTTATATTGTGATTGTGAATTATTGTACCCCTTTCTTTATTCCCCCTCCTCCTTCCCACCACCCGTCCCAACCCCTCCCTCTTGGTAACTACAAGTGATTTCTCAGTGTCCATGAGTCTACCGCTATTTTATTCCTTGTTTTGCTTCATTGTTATACTCCACAAATAAGTGAAATCGTATGATACTTATCTTTCTCCATGTGGCTTATTTCACTGAGTATATCCTCTACCTCCATCCATGTTGTTGCAAATGGCAGGATTTATTTTCTTTTTACGGCTGAATAATATTCCACTGTATATATGTACCACCTCTTCCTTATCCATTCATCTATTCATGGACACTTATGTTGCTTCCATATCTTGGCTACTGCAAATAGTGCAGTGATAAACATAGGGATGCATATATCTTTTCAAATGAGGGATTTTGTTTTCTTTGGGTCAATTCCTAGAAGTGGAATTACTGGATTGAATGGTATTTCTACTTTCAGTTTTTTGAGGAACCTCCATATTGCTTTCCACACTAGCTGCAACAATTTACATTCTCACCAACAGTGTAGGAGGGTTCCCATATGGTGGTCTTTTTATGAGAATTTATCTATCTGAATAAAGTAGACCAGATAGAATTCAAGTACCCCAATTCTTACTAGATCTCCACAACAGCTAAACCCCAGAAACTCTGGTTTCATTAATGGAACAAAATTAATGACTATTATCAAATTGATTTTACAGACTAGAACCAGCCTGATTCTCATGTTTGAGTACCTCCCCACACGCATAAACACACACAATATTGTACAGAAATAAACTGATACACACACCTACACAAAGAATTATACTCCATCTAAGGTTTTAACACCATTGGTGTGCTCTCCTCTCTAACTAACCACAAGAGATACTGAATGTGAAACACTGCTCTAGCTAAACCTCTTCAATATAGATACAATGAAGGAAAAAATTTTGTGGAATAAAAATGCTTTTAATAACACACTGAAATAAAATAGGATACCTTCTTAACACAAAACAGCATTATAAGTAAAAAGACATTAACACAATGAGTTCAATTTTACTGAGGAGATAAGCAATACACTACATTTTAAACTTACCACAACAGCAAAGAACACCATAAAGAAAAATGATAAGCTACTTGTGTAGCCAAGAAAGCCTGTAAAATAACAATAAAATAAAAATCAATTTATAAGGAAAGTAGTCCTAATGTACAGCTAAAGCTGTATGTCTTGGGCATGTTTTCTATTACAGTGCTTGGTATCTAGGGCTTAGGGCTGAGAATAACAACATTCCAACTATCTGTCACAGATCATTTATGTAGTTCTGCACAGCAGAATGGAAACTGGCTTACCACTTATGGTACACTGTAAGGAAAGGCTGCTCTTTAATGTTCTTCTGTGAAGATTTTATTTTAGTGGGGTAGATAAAATACTACTGCAAACCAAGTAGTAGGTTAACTCGGCAGGGCTGAAGGCTAAAGAACCTAAAATAAGTCCAAGTTCAAAATTATTCATAACCACCACCCTTCTGCTAAATATGTGGTACTATGAAGTTTAAAAGCCCCTTAATATTCTTTCTTTCTTTTTTCTTTCTTCTAAACAGTGTCCTCTTCTATAAAGACTTACCTATTTTAGGAAGAAGTGTAAGAGGGAACACAATGCCAACACACATGATTATTAGTAGTGTTTGCCCATTAAGATACCAAGACCTATTGGGAAAAAAAAGTTCTATTTTAGGTACAGAACTCCAGTGTTTGTCTTTACACACACACACACACACAAACACATATGCATGTTATAACCACTACAACCATCCACTAGGAAAAGCCTACTTGCTTTTGTTAAAATATGTTTTTGTGGGATCCTATACTGTTATTGAATTTACATATAAGAAGTACACCAAAATTTATACATAATAAAGGAACCCATATTAAGTATGCAGTTCGATGAATTTTTTAAATGTATATACACACTTATGTAATCATCACCATCAACAAACAGGACATTTTCACCACCTCAAAAATGTGTCGCCCATTTGCAATCAGTCTCTCTATTGCCCAGGCACCAAGCAACCAGAGATCTGCTTTATATCAAAAAGATTAGTCTTTTCTTGTTTTAAAATTTCATGTAAGTAGAATAATACAATATGTATTTGTTAAAAAAAGTGTATCTAAAAAACCAGATGCCATTTTTTAACTATCAAATCAGCAAATATTTAAAAATAACAATCAATTGAGGTGAGGAGATACAAGGTCTGCACAAAACTGGCACAAGTATAAACTGTGTATATTATCTTTCTGGAAAGCAATTAGGCAATGGATATTGAGAGCCTTCAAACATTTAACTCACAGGGAAGACTATTAGAAGTAAACAGTCAGTAATAACAAGAATTTTAGTAAAAAGGTGTTTATTGAAATATTTAAAATAATGAAAACTGGAAACAAACATCTAAGACCATGAAAACTTTAAAATAAATTATAGAACTATGGGACAGTCATAAAAAAGAACATTTTACAGGCACAAAAATATAATAAATATTCAGTAAAATTCATAAATATACATAGCATGATAGCAATGTTGAGGAAAAATACAGATTAATTCAAAATGGAAAAGAATTGTAACATATGGATAGCCATTATCTCTGAGTGGTAGAATGATGAGTAATTTTTCTTCTTTATATATAGTTTTCTATATATTTTCAAATTTTCAGGAAAGGGCATGAATTACTCAGAAAAAGTATTAAAATTTTCATATAAAGGCATTAGACTATTGAATGAAAAAAGGTAGGTTAAAGTGTGATGGTACATGTCATTACTTAATAAAACTGGATGGACTTAAAAAAAACTCAGAATATATTTAAAATATCAAAAGTAGATTTCTATGTGGTACCAATATGAGCGATTTTTATTTTCTCCTTGTTTGCAATTTTGCAATATAAAATACACGTGTAGAAGTTTTAAAAAGTTAAAAAAGTCCCCAAGACTTTAAGAATAAAGACTTTACTTCAGCATGTACAAGACAAGTAATTTATGAAAGAAATACAGCTAGAGAATACACATGAAGACAAATCCAATCTCTGGTGCTAATTAAAGAAATAAATAATGAGGCTATTGGAATTAAACTAGTAAAACTATTCTAAAAATAACATTCAAGAATGTGGCATAATTGGTCCTTTACACATTGCTAGTGATCTTGTTAATTAGTATTATCTTATGGAAAAACATTGATAATATACAGTAAAAGCAATAAAAATGTGGTAATCCATTCTAAGAAAATAATCTAAAATATAAAGAATTTCATGTGCATGAAGTTATGAATACATTATTATATTATTAAGAAGCTGACAGAAAATCCTATATATCCGACAGGAGAAAATATTTAGGTCAATAATAGCACACTTGATGGAATCTAAAGTTATACAGCTTTTTCAAAATGACAATTTAGTAAAATGGAAAATGCTAATAACATAAATACAAGATACATGATTATTAACTATGTTTTTAAAAAGCTTTTTTGCAAAAAATTCAGAGGAAATAAAATGATAACAGTGATTAGGTAAGAAACAGTGTTCTGCATTTTTATTTGCCTTCTTTTCTAAATTTTCTATAATGTAGCTATCATATTTTTACACTGAAATATACATATATACACACACAATGGTTACAAAATAAAATTCATGCTAATATGGGGGCTGGGAGCATCAAAGACACTTTTTCAAATCATCTGGTAGATGTTTTTGGAATTCCTGGTTGGCAATAATGCATCATCTTTCTTTATCAGGGAATTAAAGTCTCCCACAGCCATGTTACATTAAGAACATGGAAAAATTCCTAGACATATACAACATACCAAGTCTGAATCATGAAGAAACAGAATATGTGAATAGGCCAATAATAAGTAAGGAGATTGAATCAATAATTAAGTCTTCTAATGAAGAAAAACCCAGGACCAGATTTTTTTAAATGGTTATACTGGTAAAATCTTCCAAACATTTAAAGAAGAATTAATGCAAATCCTTCTCAAACACTTCCAAAACATTTGAAGAGGAAACACTTCCAAACTCATTTTACAAGGCCAATATACCCTAATACCAATGCCAGGTAAGGACACTATAAAAAAGAAAACTACAGACCAATATCCCTAATGAACATAGATGCAAACATTCTCAACAAAATGTTAGCAAACTGAATTCAACAGCACATTAAAAGAATCATACACATGATCAAGTGGGATTTATCCCTGGATGCAAGGATGGTTCAACAAGAGCAAATCAATTAATGCGATAGAGCACATTAATAGAATGAAAGATAGAAATCATATGATCATCTTAAGAGATGCAGAGAAAGCACTAGACAAAATACAATATCCTTTCACGATAAAAACCCTCAACAAATGGGTACAGAAGGAGCATATCTCAATGTAAGAAAAGCCATGTATAATAAACAAAGTCACGACTAATACCATATTCAACAGTGAAAGGCTGAAGCTTTTTTCTAAGATTAGGAACAAGATAAGGGTGCCCAATCTCACCACACTTATTTAACATAGTACTGGATGTTCTGACAAAGAAATATCTGAAAAACAAAGAAAATAATCCAATTTACAATAGCATCAAAACCATGAAAATACTTAGGAATAAATTTAACCAAGGAAATGAATAATCTGTACACTGAAAACTATAAGACTTTAATGAAAGAAACTGACACAAACAAATGGAAAGACATCCCATCTGTGTTCATGGATCAGAAGAATTAATAGTTAAAATGTCCATACTGTGTAAAACCATCTATAGATTCAATGCAATCCCTACCAAGATTCCAATGACATTTTTTACAGAAATAGAACAAACAATCCTAAAATTTGCATATAATGACAAAAGACTCCAAATAAGCAAAGCAATCCTCAGAAAGAAAACAAAGCTGGAGGCATCACTCTTCCTGATTTCAAACTATACAACAAAGCTATAGTAATCAAAACAGTATAGTACTGGCATAGAAATAGACATGTAGACCAATGGAATAGGATAGAGTCCAGAACTACCCTCTCACCCCACATATACAGTCAAACTAATATTTGACAAGGTGGTCAAGAATACTCAATCAGGAAAGAAGTCTCTTCAATGAATGAGATAACTGGGAAAAATGGATAACCACATGCAGAAAAATGAAAGACCCCTGTCTTATACCACTCACAAAACTTAACTTGAAATGGATTAAAGACTTAAATGTAAGACCTGAAACCATAAAACTTCTAGAAGAAAACATATAGAAAAAGCTACTTGACACTGGTTTTGGGAATGATTTTGATATAACACCAAAAGCACAAGCAACAAAAGCAAAAATAAGTTGATTGCATCAAACTAAAAAGAAACCACCAACAAATGAAGAAGAACCCTACAGAATGGGAGAAAATACTTGCAAACCATAAAGCTGATAAAGGGTTGATATCCAAAATATATACAGAACTCATACAACTCAATAGCAAAAAAAAATCAGACAATCTAATTTAAAATGAACAAAGGAAATGAACAGACTTTAAGAATGGCCAACAGGTACTTGAAAAGATGCTCAACATCACTCATCAGCAGGGAAATACAAATCAAAACAGCAATGTCACCTCACACCTGTTAGTATGGCTATTATCAAAAAGACAAAGATAACAAGTGATGGAGAGGATGTAGAAGAGATGGAACCCTTGTGCACCGTTATTGGGATTGTGAATTGATTCAGCCACTATGGAAAACAATATGGAGATTCCGCAAAAAACTAAAAATAGCACTACCATATGATCCAGCAATCCCACTTTTGGGCATATCATCAAAGGAAATGAAAACAGGCTATCAAAAAGATATCTGTACTTCCATGTTTACTGCATTATCCACAATAGCCAAATATGGCAGTTACCTCAGTGTGTATCAGTGGATGAATGGATAAAGATGTGGTACATACATACAATGTGATATAATTCAGCCATGAGAAATTGGGAAATCCTGCCCTTTGTGACAACATGGATGGATTCTGAGGGCATTACAGTGAGATAGGTCAGACAGTAAAAGACAAATACTGTGTATCACTTAACATGTGGGATCTAAAACAGCTGACACAGAAAGAGTAGTACAGTGGTTACCAGGAACTAGGGGCAGGAGAAGCAAGGAGATGTTGGTCAAATGGTAGTTCTGGGGATCTAATGTGTAGCATTGTGATTGTAGTTAACAATATCATATTATATACTAGAAAATTGCTAAGAGACTAGATCTTAAATGTTCTCTCACCACACACACACACACACACACACACACACACACACACACACACACACACACAAAAAGTAATTATGTAATATGATAGAGGTTTTAGTTAACACTACTGTGGTAATCATATTGCAATACAAGAGTATCAAATCAACATGTCACATACCTTAAATTCACATAATGTTATATGTTAATTTTATTTCAATAAAAAATATACATAAATTTTTTTTTAAAAAAAGGAGACAGAAAGAAAAGGTTTCCTTATATGTGGGTTTCAACCCCTGGCTTCTAATATGGAATTTATTATTCACATGATCTTTCCTACCTGGTTTACAAGGAAGTCCTCTTTAATGTATTTTTAATGAGTACTATTCACAACTTCCTCTTTAAGAGAACAAGAGAAGGAGCAGTAGCAGAAATAGCACTGAATCACACCTTTCCCTTCTCTACCCTTATTTATACCTTTAGGAAATGCATGTGCAGAAAATAAAACCTATGCACAAGTATGTCTAGCTCTAATGGACCTGAAACTATGCTCTCTGCATTTGCACATGTCCCTCAATTCCAGGTATGCAGAAGGTCCTAAGAGAGTACACATACTAAAAAATGATACTCAGCATGTTCACCTTCTAGTCACTCTTAAATAAGCATCAAAATGGGAACTTCAAAATATCTCCCTTTGAGGAACACCTGGCAACTAAATTTCTGAAGCTGGCAAAAAGCCCAGGGCTCTATGCCTGAAATCTCCTTCCTTCTGGGACCCAGACAGTTGTTACACCAAGAGAAAAAAGGCCCAAAGGAGCACCCAGCAGATTCCATCTGTTAGCTCTCTGTTCTGGCTGTCATGAAGGTAGAGTTGTGCAAAGGGACCAAAGACTGTCTTCTCTTGCATAAGAATAAAGGAACACTTCTGAAATCCTGAACTTTGTAACTTATGCTACACATTATATTTTATAACTTTATACTATTTCCAATCACAATTCACTCATGTCCACAGAAGCCACCGACTGCCCAAAGCACTGAACTGCAGGTCTAAAGATGACTTCACCTCCTCCCAGCAGTAACTCCGAATCACAGAGTTATGGGACGTTAGAGCTACAAGAGACCTCAGAGGTCATCCGGTTCAAGAGCACCATTTTATATTGTCTTCAAAATCAGCAAAAGGATGATGATGACCACATGCAATACCCCCTACTCTTCAATAGTCACTCTGCGTTTACGGTATTTTTCAGATACTGAGTTATTTTTCTCAAGATTGTGCTTTATATTCCCCTTTCCAGAATTGAACTTTAAATTCCTAACATAAAAAGAACTTTATTGCAAAATCTAATTTCTCTATCCCTAGCATTGCTACTGGTTATTATTAATCATTTCTTATCCTTATTATGTTAATAAAGCCAATTTTAAATATAGTGCTTTTCTTTACCATTCATCAACAATAAAGGCAATACAGTATGCACAGTAAAGTTAGTTTATATTTCACGTGCATGTCACAGCCAACTGAATTGTGTTTGGCAATAGGTATTTTCCAAAGAAGTGGTATTACTACACTTATAAAATAAAACCTAGCCTGAGAAATTCAAACCCATAAAAAGAATCTCAAAAAGCACATATTAAATAAACCTATTTTACAAATCAAGATTTTAGAAGGATATACTAACCTTAAATTTTTTCCTAAGATAGGGAAAAAGAATTATCTAACAGAGCCCCTGTTTTCCTACTGTGATCTAAATATATATTCTCCTTAAGCCAAAAGATTTAGAGTAAAAAGTTTTATACTTCCTAGAAAACTTGTTTGATCTGTGGATTTAATCCTATATGATAAAAATGTTCCAAGTATGAAATATAGACTATAAATCCTTAGCTGTATTGCAAATGCTTTGGCATGCAGATGTTTTTTTCCATATTTTAATGAAAACCAGATTTATTTATAAAATACTTTAATTTCATTCTCGAATGGAATGGAACTAGAGTATCATATGTTCTGAATTAGGATCTTACTCACATCCCATATCAATTATGTAACTCAAATGTAAGACAACTTAATTGTGTCAATCATACTCCCCTGACAAGATCATTAAATGTTAACAGAGGGCTTCCAAATTTTAACAGCCACAGATTTTTAAAATATAAGTTATTCTATGAAAAATACAAATGCCTCACAAAAGTTCAGTATTAGTATTATAGCTTCTGACTTCTAATAGCAATTTTTGAAATTAGAATATTATAAACATAAAGTTTCTTTTTGATAATATCATCATAAAGGTTTATATTTCATATAGGTACACCACATCTAATAGATTAATTCAGAAAATAAAGTCTAACTGTAATTTATTATAAATCAAACCCTAAAAGCATATCAATATCATATTGATCTCATAGAAGAAATATTGCTATGTAACTACCTAGAAGTAAACTGCCCTAGATAGTTAAGTCAATTACCATAACAATTATCTCTTATTTTGCAGTGCAAAGCTTTAAATATTAATGATTTATCTGTATTCTAACCATTAAATATAATTAGTCACTTATTAATGTTTTTCAAAACTTTGAAATCCAAAATAAGTGATTATATATTACATTTAAAACAAGATTAGGCTTATAAGTGTTTCTTTAGAAATTCTTTTCTGGATGCACAGTTATTATTTTTTAAACCAATTCATATTTTCAAGTACTGATTTTCACTCCTAAAAAGAATAAGATGAAACTCTTAAAACATGTGCAATTTTCATAACAGAGATGATGCAAATTTGCCACAGTATTTTGAAGTATACAGTTTGAAAATCTATTTCTTACATAGAAAAGTAACATGGTTATCAACTGAGTAAGATGGGAATTTTCACTATTTTAAACAAATTGGGAGAAAAAAAGCCCAACAAAATAAGTGGCAATTGATTTAAAATTAAGCTATTTTATAAAATTAAACTAAAATTATAACTTAGAGAAAGAAGACCTAAGGATTAATAACAGTTTTGTCACATACAAACTTATTTCTAAAATTTTGTATGTATTTTTACCCCTCCTCTTTCCATAAAGACATATGACAATTGAAAAAAGTGTAAATAAAAGTCACCAAGTTCAGGACCTAGAAATAGGAAAACATGTGACAACTATCAGGATTAACAGAGTATATACAGTACATTTAAATTTGACTCTGAGCAGTCAGAACAAATAGGGAAAAAACCACCTTTAACACAGTTATTACTTTTGGAATACATTCAAATTTGGCTCTGAGCAGTCACAGCAAATAGGGGAAAAAACCACCTTTAACAGTTATCATTATTGGAATAATATTTTTATTGAGATATAATTGACATACAACACTGGAATTTCTTAGTTCATATTTACAGTATGCTATCAACATATAAAAGCATGTATATATGTATCTTATTTGATCATCCCAACAACTTTGTTAAGGAGACAATACTAGGACCCCCATTACACCAGGTGAAGAAACCTAAGGCTCAACATTAAGTTGGATAGCCGTAATAAGTTTACTTCATATGAAACGGTAGAACAAGTTTCCTTACTCTAACATTCTTTATTCTACTTCTTACTGCCTTGAATTCTTAGCCCTAAATTATAAAAGAAATGTATCACGTGGAATTTTTTCAGTAACAGAAGTTGTCCTCAATATTTTAGAGCAAATGTAGGTGAATTTCACAGTTATTTCTTATAGCAATTGTTAATCAAACAAGAATAGAACTTAAAAGTAACTAGAAAATCTGTAGATAAAACAAGGTAGTTTTGAGTATCAAATATGATAATGAATGTGGAAACCTTATAAACCTAAATTATTATACAAAGGCACAGTATCTCCTAATGATGAAAAGTCATTAAGGACTTCTACTTAACCTTTTCAACCATGTTTTCTTGATGGTTGCTATAATTCAGATCTGAAGTTACCATACTTTCCTATAAATATGTATTTGCAGTTGTCTTAAGTAAAATTCTTTCATGGAAGCCAAGTTATAAAAGCTAAAAACTAAATTTTCAAATTTTTCTGCCCTGCACTCCAGAACAACTTCAAATATTGAAATAAAATAACCAAATATTTAAACCTAAAAGTCTGGCAGATTTTTGTGTTGTTTAGAAGTTATGAAATAATGTGATGACAATTATAGGGTTTATTGCCTTTCCAAGTTTTTTTTCAGAATTTTGTATTCTATGTACTGAAAGGAAAAATATAGTTAATTGGGTTTTTCCCCACTAAAAAGAAATAAGTCAATAGTATTTTTAAAATAAGAAAGGAGAAAAGGAGGTATAATGTGGTTTGGCACTATTTATAATATTGTTTAAAAACAGAAAATGAAACAATGAAATCCTTGCAAATAAGATTTGTTCAAATCATGCTTTATAGTAGGAATCTCACCTAAGTATGGTTGTAACTTGATTACTATGACTCATCTTTCTCACTATGGTTTGCTGAGCAGTGGCAGCAATATTATCCATTTCCCTCCTTTGTTTAAGACCTTGACTGTCAGTACTTTCAGCCTTTCCCCATCCCCCACTGCAATCTTTCATATCCCTAGAAATTTCTCCTTACTGTTCTCCAAGAGCTAGCTCATACCTGTCCTGCCCTATCATACCGCGTAAGAATGCAAGGATTATACCTGGTGCTTCAGACAGTTCACAGCACAGTGCTTTGTAAGTAATGCAGTGGATCCACAGTAAGTAATGGATCATCAATAAATGTCTGCTGAGTGTTTTCTTCTTTATTACTGTTCTGCCCCTGCCTAATTTCTAAGTGTCTTGAGGGCAGGAACTAAGTTTGTTTTACTTCCCCCTAGAGCCTAATAAATATTAATTGAGTTCGTAAATGAATGGACATACTGTGAAATAGTTTTTCTTACCCACTATAATCTCCAGACAAAAATTCTGAAATAGCAGCAGGAAGCTCTGTTTCAATAATTAAAAGATAAGATGACATGGCTGCAAAAAGAATAAAAAGAGTTCCTATTAGAATTCTATAATTTTTAACCATTTAAAGAATATCCAAAAACAAAGATATTCATTAGGGCTAAGACAACAGGTGGAAGATTAACTCATACTGCACTGTCTTCAAAGGTATATGTACACCAGGAGTGGAGATAAAGAACTGGTAGAGAACAATAATTGGTGAGTTCTTTAAGTATCCTTTTGTTTACCTTCTAGGTCCAAGGTAAACTATTTATGCATGAGAAAGTGTCTTGATGATAGGCCATTTATAAATGAAGTTTTGTTTGAAGTTTTGCAAAAACTCTGTCCAAGGCACTAGAAATTAATTTACCAACAAGTGATATGGAAACAGAAGTTTAATAAATGTGGTTAAATAACTTTGATTATTTGTTTTTCTTAATAGAGAGAGACTCCTCCCCAGAAGTCTCTCTCTCCCTTTCTCTGTTACCTCTTCCCCGCTCCCCACATATTATGGATACATATTTTTATAAAACAAAAACAAAATGCAAAATGAGTTACCTTTTAAAGCATTCCAAAACAACTTAGAAAAGATTCCATGGAAACCATTAAGTATATCAAAGTGTCAAAACTTACAACTTTTATTCCATTGTATTACCAGGGCTCATCTGTATTATGCAATCAAAACCTGAGGCTTTTATCTGACAGGGACCAAGAAATAACTAGTTTTATAACATTTTAATAATGATCCTATTTCTTATGTAGCTTAAAAAAAAAAGCAAATCTTACAAACCTTCCATCATATCTTAGGATATGTTCTAATATGGGTAACATAATATAGAACTCTTTTATATGAAAACACTTGAATTAAGTTTAAATGCTTAAGTATATAGAAACTCAGAATGATTTGGAGTGAGAACTTCAGGTTAGCAGAGTAATATTTTCTTTTTCCCCCAGAAATAAGAATATATTTAAAAAGAGCCAACAAGAATACGTCTGTGAGGAATAAGGAATGTACTCTGTGTGCATGTTAACTTATTACTTAATTATATTTGAGGAAATATTTCACTTTCTCCTTGGACCTACAAAAACTAAGAACACAAATGAATGCAAAGTCTAAATGGCAAAAATCTGGGGAAAAATTGATTAAAAGGCTCAAATAGTTTAATACATTTAAAAGCAGCTGAACTCAGCTATTGTACAGTGCTGTGTGACTATTTAAACCTAGAGAAAAAAAGGTATCTACTAGTTTGTATATAAATTAGACAAGAGTTACACACACAAACATATACACTCTCAATTGTTTTAGTAAAATAACATGTACTTATGGCAAAGTAAAATTTAGAAGAGTTAAGTAAATAATCATTTCTCCATAATAAAAATATGTGTATGTACACTTTCTAGTTTATGACTATTACTTTTTCCTAAGTATAAGTATATTTCTTCAAACTCTCTTTTAGTTATGGGGAAAAAAGGTGTTTTATATCGTTCATACTCTCTCGAAGAAAAATCCTATCAATTCGGTGCAGAACAGAAGGAAGGTTTAGATTAACCTTCCGTACTCAAGGACTTGGGGGTCTCTGTTTATAATACTTTACCTCTTCCGAAGAATCATACACATATGGTGTGATGATGAAAATCATTAACTGAATTTTCTGAAGCTGGCCTACAGCTACTTAAATATTAATCTTGCAAGTAAAAAAAAAAAAGACAGAAGTACCCTGAAAACAAGGAATGCAGACTTCCTACATGATATAACATACTATCCACCCATCAGTGTTTCTTGCTTGGATTAATCCAACACCACATGCATTTCTAAAGTTTCAGACATTCATCTCTTTCAGTAATTTTCTATTATTTCTTTTAGATCTTTAGCTGTAAAAAGCTTCAATGAATACAAGATCATATTTCTTTCTAATATACAATCTGTCATTCTTCTCAGAATTTCTATTAGCCCCTGGCTAATCATTTGATCACTTTTATCCTCTGTTGTAGCCTTAACTCTGGTTTTCAAATGGGAGTCCTATTTCATTAGATTCCAGTCTGAAGAATCATGTATATTTCAAGAAACATGAACTCACCAAACATATGTTTCTTTCTCAAAAAAAGATCTCAGCATACAAGATATACTAAAACCAGCAAATACTGCTTCTTTCTTATAGAATGCTGGTGTTTGTTTTAAAAGCTACGAAACCACAGAGTTCACGATGGGGGAGAAAACCCTACTGATTAAGCAAGCAAAACAAAGAAAGACACCAACCTCTTCATGAAATTATTTTTTCCTAACCACAGGTAAACTTTCCTGTAAGAACTGAACATATTATGTATAATATATAGGATATTACATATATTATATTATGTATAATACACAGAGGAAATAAAAAAGGTTGCCAAATACATTGTTAGAAAATATATCTTAACTAAATTCACATAAAAAAACAGCTCAATACAATAAACTAGAAAAGTTTTAAAGATACAGTATCAATAGGAAAGCTCATATATCCATTGTTTTCAACCAAAAGGTTCACTAGATCAAACAGCTGCCTGTCACACCTTTTGTCTCATGTCTTCTATTAATGACATAAGGAAGTGTTTAAAGTCTTATCTTAGAGACAGGCCATAAGCAAGAATTTGTAAATGATTTTTGCTGACAACGATACACAGCATAGATTCCTAACATATGACACGCCATGCAGTACTCTGAATTAACAACTGTAACGAGGTCATCCATAAGGGCCACCGGTATAGTTAAGTCGCTTTGGCCTCCACACCACCAAAGCCAGAATTAGTGCTAGAAGACAGACCTTGATGACAGGTATGCAACTATTACAAATCATTTAGCTTCACCACATTAACTAAATAGGTATTCTTTTCTCCTTCATTTTAAACATAACTAATGGAACTCATTTAATGGAAATTGCCCTGGGAAGGGAACAAAAAAAGCTGTCAACGTCATCAAAACACTTAAGTTGAAAGTATTCTTTAAAAACCACATGGAGAAGAAACTGTTATATTAGGAATGATGAAAACAGAGTAAAATTTGATTAAGTAATAGCAAGTAGTAAGGTATTAATACTGGTTGATCGAATCATAAAAGAGAAACACATAAGTTGGGAGCATGGAGGTTGCAAGGAGAGATATCTGAGAAAAGGGGAAAGGACTAGGTGGGACAAAACTAGGGTAACAGTGAAATATTTTGGCTTTTGGATGCCTGTTATATGCTTGACAGTATTTTAAGTGATTTACAAATTATGCCCTCATTTAACCTTCACCACAACTTATGAGGTAGACATTATTTATTTCACATATGAAGAAATGGAAGCACAAAGAAGTAACTTGCCCAACCTAGTGACAGTGGAAAGAGCCAGCCTGGCGTGAGGTATTGGCACGATTAACTATTACGCTATGGGAAAGCACAAAGTAAAGTGAATAAGAAATCCTCCATAGTGAAGAAAAATAAGGGAAGTCTATCAAAAGGATGACTCCCTGGAATTATTCTTTTTCTTAATCATCATTTAAACAACAAATTACCTTTAAATGCTGAGTTTAAGTTAGGCTCAAAGAAAAGAAAACATTTTTATAACACAGAACGTTAGTTAGAAGCTTTAAAAACAATTACACTGTTCGTTCCACTTTGAGATATATTTGCAATGTAATTCACCTCAGTCCTGTAGCTGGTATGGTGAAGTGATTAGTCCAAGATTCCTCAGACAAGCTAAGGAGTTTCATGATAGGACACTACTGCATCCACCATTATGATTCTACTGCATCTACAGCTATTATTGTAGTTAAAAGAGAAAGTTTCTTACTCTTGCATATATGAGATATTAACACTACACTGAAATATAAAAAAGATTAAAATGAAAACAAATCTCTCTTCCCACAAACCCTGTGCCCTTACAGACTATTTTTCCCAGGACTTCTATAAAGAAACAAAACCAAAAAACAAAGCCTCAATTGAAATTTGGGCCTAAGAACTCATTAGTTTATAAAAATAATTATCCTTTTTGTCAAACACTTAAAATACACATATGAAGATAGAATTACATACAGCTATTTTTAAAACAGAATTAGGTTTTCAGCACTTGGGAGGAAGTTCAGCAACTTCTTAAAGGATTAGTCGGCAGTCTTAAACAGATGTACTATGGGAGAAAATAATGTTTGCTTTTCTGTTCTAAGAAAGATTGAATTTTACTTCGAACATGTTTCTAGTCATGGGTAGCAACTGTTTTATTCTACTCAATGTGTCTTACTAACCTGGTATCCCTACTAAATGTCCAAATGCCACTGACAGTTATCTCTACTCAAAATAGTACACACACAGTTTTCCTTTTTTTAAATCCCTGAAAACAATGTTATTTCCCTAATTTGTGCACAAATGGATGTAAAAATATTTGGAGGAACATTTTATCCCATAACCCAAGGAAAATACATTTATAATTTATCAAGACCTCAAATTTGCCCACAAAATGACCAGAATATTTACTATTCTGGGAATCCTATAATTAAATTTCAATAAAAATTATTTCTAAGAAATACATTATTTTTCAAACCTTTTAAAATTTGTGACAGTGTGACCAGTAAACTTTGTCAAAGGAAGTACTTGTGGAAAAGACTCTCCTCCCAAATTTCCTATCTCTCTCCTATTCTAAGGCAGGGCACTTTCTAGAATTTCTGGACAATATTCAGGCTCAAGAAAGCTGCAATTTGACTACAGATGAGCTGACCAGCAGATGGCGTTGTAACAGCATGCTCAACGCGTTTCCCAAGAGACAATGCAAACTAGTGCTCGAAAAGACTTCACTGTACCAAAAAAAAAAAAAAAAGGTACAGGAAGAAAGTAAAACCAAATAGTTTCTAACTTATCTAATATTGAACAATGAATTTGAAATATACTGAGAATTTGAAATTTTTATAGTTCTCAACTGAAAATGATCTATACCTTTCTGTTTGAAATTTAGAAACCACGTTGCTTGAACACATAAAAGGGCTGCTGAATTCCTCTTAAAACTTAGATTCCCAAACTGAGATGTTAA